CCCAATAATAAGAGAGAGTCAGTTGTGATTCTGATTCTTGTTTTCTTTCCTTTTTTGTATTATGTTATATCATGAAGCTTTTGGATAACGAAGGTTTATTGATCAGTACCAAACAAACAAATAGAATGATTATGTGTTACAGAGAAATCAAGTCACACTAGGAATCAACAAATGATTTACAATACCAACTAAGAAAGTGTTGAATGAATGCATTACCATTAATTATCTCTGTTGTTCAAAACTTTCTCCAGTCTTGCCTCAAATGGTGTTGAATGCCAATTCACTTTATTATCCTGCACATCCACAAAACTGTCATTCTCTAGAAACAAACAACGACCCTTGATAGATTATTACACTTGTGGCAATTGGTTTTGAAAGCACGATGAAATCAGTATCAGACATTGTACTGTCTCGTAGGATGGTTTTACTGGTTTATATGTACCTCTCTGTACTTGCTGGTGGTATTCGGTATTCCCTTGAATGAAGATACAGAGCCACAATCTATTGCCTTAATGTGATTACCCCAATAACCACCAACTGTGCCAATAATAGGTGTCTCATCAGGACTCTTGCTCGGTGATTTCCTTGGCGTAGATGTAGCCGAGAACTGTTTGATCTCATCCAATGTCAATGCGCATAGTACAGGTCTATCGTCATGGCTGGTTATACCCCGTTTTGAGTAGCAGCTAGACTTCTTTTTCTCGGGTGTAGGGGTCTCCATAGAGACACTGTTGCCTTCACTACCCGTTTCAGAAGTTGATAACCAAGTTGAAAGGCTAGCTTCAACGGTCAATTCTTGGTTTCTCGGTTTCTTGGATTTCGGTTCTGTGCCCGAAAAAGAGGAATCACTTTTGTCTTCTTGATCTGAGACGAGGTTAGAGTTCTCCTTTTGAGACTGTTTCTGCATTGTTCTCCCTTCGGATTTAGCGGATCTCCACTGAGTGAGATTTTCAACCGGGTTAAGTACTCCTTGGGCATAGTGGTTTCCATCTTTAACACTCTCATTAGACCTTCTCAGCTTTGCATCRATCTCCTCTGTATYATCCTCAATCTCCTCAGTGTAAACTTCCTTGGTTAGCTTATGCAACTTATCCTCACTAAATCCATCATCACTATAATACTCTTCATCTTCATCTAGATCGGTTTCACCAAAGTCTAGCTCATCCTCCTCTACATCATCATCACTTTCTCTACAATTCTTGTATCTGTGATTTGAAGGATACGACCCTGAGGAGTTTGAAGCAACCTCACTGTTCTCAGAACAAGTCTTGCTTGAATTCAGTGACCTCTCGTCGGATTTGACATCTTCCTCTTTCTTCTCTTCCAAAAGATCAACAGATTCTTGTAGCACAATGTGTTCATAGGTTTTGACTTTAGAGTCAAAAGTGACTCTCTTCCTAGTAGGACTTGGACTGCATTTTTCTTCAGCCTCGTCACTGMGAGAAACCAACATTTGTTAGCTCGAATCAAGAGGAATAGTACCAAAATCAATCAATCACACTCACCAAATCTCAGTGATTGGAATCACAGAAGCTTTTGGGATTTCCTCTACCGTGGGGACTTTATCATTCAGATGATCAGGTTTTGCAGATTCCACGCCAAGTTTCTATGCATAACAAATAACGTATTTCAAGCAATTCACAAAACTGAAAGATGTGAGAAATTCAAAGAAAAAACTCACAAAAGAGCATAACACATTACATCGAAGAGGTAGACATCAGAAATTTTGCTCAGAAAACTTACGTTTTCTCTAGTCTGATCAGATTCACTGCGTTTCTGACGCCGGCGATTCTTCCGACCACCGAAGCAACCCAGAAAGCAACCCATAATCCGAAATTTCAATGCCTAGCGAAAGAGACGAAGAGAAATTGCTCCGTGAGGGTTTTGATCGGATATTAAGAGGTCGACATTGAAACTGAGGAGCGTGGTGTGGGGACGATCAGTGAGAAGAGAGCGGGGAAAAAAGCGTAAAGCTTTGGAATTGGGATTTTTAGGGTTTTAAAATTATTTCTCTGTGTTCTTTAGTATCGGATTTTAATTTTTTAATCAGTTATGACTAGTTAGTGATGATAAAGTAGATGACCGTTACAAAATATAACACCATTATCTACTTTTTGTTACAAATTGAAATTGCTTTTCGAGTTTTCGTTAATCCGTATAAACATTAATTACTCTGTATCATATCGATAAGGTATTACATTTCAAATTCTGTAACTTGTAAATTCATGAACAAGATTCTTGTTAATTTTTTGAGCCTAGTGGATAAGATTTCTGGATTTATGATTGTTTTTAAAAAACAATTCAATCCGGATTTAAAACCAAGTAAAGATTATCAGATGAAATAATCTTGTTTGCATACTACAAACATGAATCTGTTTTGTTATCTTTAAAAAATTAGAGTACAAAAAAAAAAAAAAAACACAATCTTACATATATAGTGAAACTTGAAACTGAAAACATGTCTTTTCTCAAAGTTAGCTAACCATAGGATACAATTTGTAACCAGCAATAGACTCCAAGAGCCATGTGTGACCAACGAYTCGAGAACCAGTTTTCGTGGATAAAGCTTCTGCTTCATTTGCTAGTTCCCAAATAATTGCGACTTCTTCACCTAATGCACACCCAATTGGAGGATCAATGTTGTAAACTACAATCGATGATGATCTTTGGTCATTGACAYTGTTGCTACTTTCTGCATCAAGCTCATCCTCTGTGTTCAAGATCGTACCACCCRCGACTTTGACTAGATTCTGAAGGTCTTCTTTGTATCCTTTACAGAAATCTCCAAAGAAGTAGAACTTCATACCATCAAAGAGCTTTGGTTTCTGCTTGACAATAAAAGTAGAGAGTGAGATAACCAAGCAAAGCACTTTCATATCGTTGTTGGCATGTATATTTGTATACTCACATTAGTTGCTGCTCTGAGTCTTGCGGYTTTCGGTCCGTCTTGACATCCTTGAGTGTCAATATGAATCTCAAATGGTTCTTCATCAACAGGTCGGGAAGCTTCGAGGCTAGCTTTCATCCCTAGAAACAAATCAGGGTTGGTTCATGTAAAGATGAAGATTTCTTATTGGTAAAAGTAAATAACATGGAAACTTCTGAGTACGCAATCTAACTTACAATCTGCATTGACAATCCATTTTCCATGAAGAATTCCCATAAGAACCTTCAAAGTTCTTGTGCATGCTCCTTTCTCGTCTGTAGAAGCAATCACATGTGTAACACTTGGGTTCCAGTATCTTGACATGGTTGCATTGAAYTTAACAGCTAACTTTTCCATCAGCCGCTGAGGAATAGCAATRCAATAAGAAAATTAGTCTTGTTGTTYCACAAAAAAGCTCTACCAACTTTGAACCAAAAGTGGTACATCCACAAACAGATARYTTCTTGTRGTAAGAAGAGAAACTAAGTACTGACCTTATCACTCTGAGAGAGTGCTGATCCACAGAAAACAAGGTCTTTTGTAATAGCCGGTTTTGTTTCTAGAGAACAAAGCTCATCAGGATTTCTGAGGGAATAAAGGTAATGGGATTAATCATTTTAGTATCAATATGAAGAATAAAGTCATACTGTTTGTCTAACATTATATGCTGAAAAAGATTCAATACGTTTTCTGTAGGGGCTTGGTTTTAGGTAGACGAGGTGCAGACTTCTCGTTAGGGAATTTGACTGAAGAATGAGCAGGACAAAGCAGAAGAAAGTCTTCCTGTAAGCACCAAGAAWACAGTCTCACAATTGGAACTTTGGTAAGTTAATTACTATATGTGAACATGAGAATGAGGCAAAACATACATGATCCCAACGGCATCTRGAAATCTCCCGTGCACATGGAACATGATAGCTCCTGCGGCAAGACCTGACATAGCAGCCTAAKGCAGCTCCTTTCMGATCACATTTAGTGCACTTGATTTTCATTCCCCTTGCTAGTTCTGCTTTCAGGTTCTTCACTGTGTCAGCTTCATAGTAAACTTGTGGWGCCCTGAACAGTCATTCATTCAGCTGCTTAGTACTTTTATCATTCAGAAGGGTTTAACACTCTTGCCTAATTCTATACACATGAACTTGCAGAGAAAAAAGATGGGGAATTGTAGAAGTTTTGGGTTTTATTTTGTATACCATTCAATACATGCGCTATGAACATGGATAACATTGGAGCGGAAGATGTCGTCTCCAACCACCGGCCAAACACTGGAGTAATGCAGCATTTCACCAGTGGCCTAACCAAATATTGATACAGCCAATTGAGTAAAACTTCACAACAACAAATGCTCAGTTTCAAGATCATAGGGGCATGAGTAAGATGATTACCTCAGATACTCTAGCAGAYTGGCAGAATCCACATATGGTTATGTTTGATGATGGTTGATCTGAAATTACAGGTGTGATCAAATCTGATCCCTTAGAGGTTTTTCCATTTAGCTGATCATCAGAGTTTGCACTGTATTTGTCGTTAAAGTCGATATCAGCAGCTTTTTGCATTAGGTTCTTATGCCTCTTGGGGACTTTCTGATAATTCTCCATTGCTTCAGAAGAGGTGATGTCACACTTCCTTTTTGCAGCTTGTTCGGGTACCTGCAGGAGGAAAAAGATTGATATACATCTTAAGTGGTAAGATCTCAAGAACAGAACAAAACCTCAGATAATGCAAAACTAAAAGTACACTGGTTTTTAAATATGTCAATAATTGATTAAGAATGCATCATAATTCAGGAAGAGAATGATGAATCAAAATGGTCAACGTCTGATACAAGACAACAATGCACCTGGTGTTTATGCGCTTTTACATGATCAGTGGGATCATTGTCTGATTCAGGCTGAAAATCATATGACCGGAGGCTCTCCATCAACAGCTGCACAGTCTGATCCTGAGTCTTAGGATTTGGATTGGTTTCTTGCGAGTTTGGAACTGGAGAACCATCATGACTAGAAGCATCACCACAAATCCGCTTCCTCACAACCTTCTGCTCAGAAGCAGTGATGTTACTCAGACTTTTTGAAGCTTTTCCTGTATGACTTTCCGGTGTCTGCAGCATGAAAAAGGGATCAATACATGACTTAGAAAGTATAAAAAATCGCCTGATGAATCAAAATGATCAATTATATGCTCTTACGCGATTGCTAGGGTCATTCTCTGATTCAAACTCATATGATGGGATCAGCTGCTTAGGTCTTGGATTGCTTTCTTCTGAGGTTGGAAGAGGAGAACCATCACGACTAGAGGAATCACTACCACTTCGCTTGATCACATCCTTGTGAAGAATCTCAGAATCTTCAGATCCACTGTCTTTTTGGCTGTTTGGATTGTTCAGTGWRTSSTTCTTGTAGTTGCAATCATTCCGAATCTGTAAYTGTGGACGATGAACACTAACAGCTGCATTCAAGCTTTTGTATATGCTTATAACACTCTCCATGAAATGAAGATTTCTCTGAGCTGCACATGAGTAATTACATACTGTCTTAACACGATTCTTCCACAAAGACATTAATTGGGTACTTACATTTTTTGGGATGTTTAGAATTGCAGACAAGACAGGCTGATTCAACTTGCGATGATTTATGTATACATGAACTGCCAAATTATTTCCGGAAATATAAGAATCAATTTTGAAATCAAATATGTAACGAATTCGTAAGATGAAGAGATGAAATAGATAAATCTCACTCGCAGAAGACGTGGTCACAAGGAAGCAACACCGGTCGATTAAGCAATTTCAAACTGCAAATACGCAATCGATTGTTAACGATTCCAGCAACACCATGAAAGTTGAATTAAATATCGAACGATTGCTCTAAGAATATCCATGAAAGTCAAAATTGGGAAGCTATAGACTAACCATAGTGGGCACTTGAGCTCCAACCCGAGCTTCTGGAGATGAAGAACCCATGGATTCATCAACATGCTGGTAAAATCCGCCATTAGAGTTCACGAAACCAGATCTAAACGACGATGAAAGCTCTTGAAGCCAAAGAAAATACACTTCCTTCCTCCTCGTTTCGTCTCCGTGCGATTTGTATTTACTTGGAGACTCTTAGGGACACGTGTACGGGCTATATCAAACGGCGGGAAGAAAGGCGGGGAGATGCTGATTTAATTAAGCGGGAGAACAAAAAAAAATGAAATAACTCCCGCTTGTTTGTTTGTTAAACTAAAATTTGAAATATTTTGAATTTTTCAGTATCGAAGACTCAAAGCTAATTAAAGGCCCAATAAAGCCCACTTGTTTGTTATGCCGGTGATAACAAGCTCGGAAGGTTATTGAATAGGGGTATTTTCGGAAAGTCAGGACGCTTCCAATAACTTTTCAATTCCACCTCCAAGGTCCCAACAATACACGCACTCTCCTCTCTCTCTTACTTTTCTTTCAACTCTGGCGATGAAATGAGACGTATTAGCTAAAGACAACGAAGCGATGGGAGCGGTTTTGAAATCGGTAACGGCTTCCTTCTCCGTATTCGCCGTTATTTGTTTGCTTTCCGGTGGCAGAGCGGTGGCGGATGAGAATGAGTTTCACGGCGATTACTCGAAGCTGTCGGGTATAATCATTCCGGGATTTGCGTCGACGCAGTTGCGAGCGTGGTCGATGCTTGACTGTCCATACTCTCCGTTGGACTTTAATCCGCTCGACCTCGTATGGCTAGACACCACTAAGGTACGTGATCTTCGTTTCCGCTGTTTATTTGGTTTTTCGCTTCCCTATTGTTTCGATCGAGTTTCTTATTGACTAATTCCAAGAGAAATTTTGCAATGAAGCATCTCTGTTATCTCTTCACGATTTTGTCAACATTGACGCCTCTGAAAAGAAATTAGAAGCTAAGAAAATGGCTGAATCTGCGAGTGTTTTTAATCGCTTTTTGTTCATAGCGCGAAGAATGTGAAATTAGTCTTCGTTTTTTTGGATGTTCTTCCTTTGCACTTTGATTTATTACTGATAGACGTGGTGGGTGATTTTGCAGCTTCTCTCTGCTGTCAATTGCTGGTATAAGTGTATGGTGCTAGATCCTTATAATCAAACGGATCATCCTGAGTGTAAGTCACGACCTGATAGTGGTCTTTCAGCGATCACAGAATTGGATCCAGGTTACATAACAGGTAATTCTGAGTTCTTGTCTTTCTTTAGAGTTTTCTAGAATTTTAATTCGTTTTGTTAATTAAAATAAACTTGGTTTGAACTTCAGGTCCTCTGTCTACTGTCTGGAAAGAGTGGCTTAAGTGGTGTGTTGAGTTTGGCATAGAGGCTAATGCTATTGTCGCTGTCCCGTATGATTGGAGATTGTCACCAACCAAATTGGAAGAGCGTGACCTTTACTTTCACAAGCTCAAGTAAGTCCTCACCAGGCTAATGCCTTTTTTCTTTTTCTTTTTTTTCGGATGTAAGATAAGCAAAGAACCCTGGTCTTTTCTTTTTTTGGTAGGTTGACCTTTGAAACTGCTTTAAAACTTCGTGGTGGTCCTTCTATAGTTTTTGCCCATTCTATGGGTAATAATGTCTTCAGATATTTTCTGGAATGGCTGAGGCTGGAAATTGCACCAAAACATTACTTGGAGTGGCTTGATCGGCATATCCATGCTTATTTCGCTGTTGGTACTGGCCAGTTATTGTTAAGTTGCTTTTTTACTTTCCTCTAAACTGGAGAGTTATGTTTTAATAAACTGGATTGAGCTCAATACCCGACTTGTTGTTGATTTAGGAGCTCCTCTTCTTGGTTCAGTGGAGGCAATCAAATCTACTCTCTCTGGTGTAACGTTTGGCCTTCCTATTTCTGAGGTGACCTCTGACTTCTTTTTAGTACCAAGTAGTTAATATCCACCAGGTCTCATTATTCCGTGGATTTTTTCTTTTGAAAATGTTACTTTTTTTAATCGAGCTGCTGTACGGGATATGGTCGCTGTAAAAGTACATTATATGTCTGTTCTAATACAATCATCTTTTCAATTCAATCGGCTATGATTTTGAATTATGTGATATATTGACATGCGCTTCTCATGTTTTTTGTTGGCAAGGCTTCAGGGAACTGCTCGATTGTTGTCCAATTCATTCCCTTCTTCGTTGTGGCTTATGCCTTTTTCAAAGAATTGCAAGGGTGAGAACACGTTCTGGACGCATTTTTCTGGTGGTGCTGCAAAGAAAGATAAGCGCGTATACCACTGTTCGAACGAGGAATATCAATCGAAATATTCTGGCTGGCCGACGAATATCATCAACATTGAAATTCCTTCCACTAACGGTAAGACTTGGAATATGCATCTATAACTGAATCATTTTCATATCTCGTTTGATTTTCTCAACACCAAAAAAAAAAAAATAGGCTTTGATGCATATCCATGAGTTACAGAGACAGCTCTAGCCAACATGACCAGCATGGAATGTGGTCTACCCACTTTACTGTCTTTCACAGCTCGTGAAATAGCAGATGGGACTCTTTTCAAAGCAATTGAAGACTATGACCCAGATAGCAAGAGGGTGTTACACCAGTTAAAGAAGTAAGTACCTTTTAATATAAGAGAAAAGTATATGTGCTTTGTCTTTCTTAATATAAGAGAAAAGTGTAATCAGAAATCTTGGTTTTGACTATCAACGGTACTTGCAGATATGAATGCAAACTAAGGTTCTTTTAGTATATTGATTTTCACATTTTATCCTCTGTGTAATTCATTTAGAATCTGGCAGACTACATGTCAAATTTATTTGCAAATCTTTGTCAGTCTTCAAATAAAAGGTATATATAACAAGCCAACTATAATTTACAGGTTGTATCATGATGACCCTGTTATGAATCCTCTGACTCCTTGGGAGAGACCACCTATAAAAAATGTATTTTGCATATATGGTGCTCATTTAAAGACAGAGGTATGACTGCATTCTTCAAATGACATTATATTCTTGTTTTGCAATATCCTTTTTATTTGTGCTCTATTCTTCTCCCTTTCATCTTATGCTTTAAGTGTTAAAGATACTAAATGTATGACGCTGTAATAGGTTGGTTATTACTTTGCTCCGAGTGGCAAACCTTATCCTGATAATTGGATCATTACGGATATCATTTACGAAATTGAAGGTTCCCTCGTATCAAGGTAAATTTCCGCAATGGCAGCAAGTAAAACAGAAATGCAAGGTTTTCTGTATCATTACATTGATGTATTATCACATTTGCATCATTGTTAAATAACACTAAAATTTTCAGTAGTTTTCCTCTCATTTTGTTTTAAGCTTAGCGGATGATCTGTGGCTAAAAGTGGGAAGAGGTGTGAAACTCTTGCATGAAAAATGAAACAAATATCAAATATAAACAAAATTAACCCAATTCTCAATGAGGAGCAGTATTCATCTTTATATTTTGCGTAAGAAACCGTAGACTAGCTCATACCTTGCTGCAATATTTGCAGGTCTGGAACTGTGGTTGATGGGAATCCTGGACCTATAACTGGGGATGAAACGGTAAGCTCAGAAGTTGTGTTTCAAATATTTTTTTTGCAAAACTACTATATAATATTTGCTTCTGGAACACAGCTCGTTATCTATTGTAATGTGTGCTCTATCGACTTTTATTGACTTTTGAAATTGATCTCTTATAGGTACCTTATCACTCACTCTCTTGGTGCAAGAATTGGCTGGGACCTAAAGTTAACATAACAATGGCTCCCCAGGTACTCTTGGCTAGTTTCCCATCTCAAGACTCGTCGTGTCTTGTAAATTTTTATCTTCCACGAAAAGTTTCTATATTTCAACGACATTTTAATCTGCATATATTAATCATTAAATTCACTTTTTATGATTATATCTTGAGTCACCTACAGTTTGTCCTTTCTAAAAAATCATATCTATATCTATGTACCGCTCAAGAATGAAATATAAAGCTAAGAGAGATTCTCTGTACAGCCAGAACACGATGGAAGTGATGTACAAGTGGAACTGAATGTTGAACATGAGCATGGGTCAGACATCATAGCGAACATGACGAAAGCACCAAGGGTTAAGTACATAACCTTCTACGAAGACTCTGAGAGCATTCCAGGAAAGAGAACTGCGGTCTGGGAGCTTGATAAAAGTCAGTAAGAAACGCATGAAACATGTTATCAAAATAGCTTGTTTTTGGTTTTGACTAATAGTCTTTTTGTGCAGCAAATCACAGGAATATCGTTAGATCTCCCGTTCTGATGCGGGAGTTATGGCTTCAGATGTGGCATGACATTCAGCCTGGTGCAAAGTCCAAATTTGTCACCAAAGGTAGAAACAAGTATTGGCTCTTCTGAAATCACTCTCTATTGTTTCTGGGTGTAAATATTGATTCCGTGTCACAGCCAAGCGCGGGCCACTTAGAGATGCGGATTGCTACTGGGATTACGGGAAAGCCTGTTGTGCGTGGCAAGAATACTGCGAATACAGGTTTCACGCTCCTCTTCGCATCCAAAATATCCAATCTGGTTATTCTGATAAATCTCTAATTACTGACTTGGTTGCTAAATTATTGTGAAACCTAATGCAGATACAGTTTCGGAGATGTTCACTTAGGACAAAGTTGTAGATTGAGGAACACATCTGCTGATATGCTGCTCCAGTACATATAGAATTCCTCGTTCAGGTCACATTACTTCTCTTTTTCTTTTTCTTTTTTCTCATTCTCCTCGTGTCTCTTTATCATAGACATTTGATTTCGACACCCAAAAAAACTGACCAATTTATTTTTCAACCATTTTATCTTTCCCTTTTTTTTTTTTTGTTATAGTAATCCTCTTCATCTTTCCCTCCCCGTAAGAGAGGGGAAAAAGCTTCAAAACGCTCAATTCTTACCCAAAGGTATTCTTTTGTGAATTTTTTTCTCTTACGAGCCATATGATATCAACAGCTAGACTGCAATTACTTTGAATTTTGCGGCTATGGTAAGTGAACCCGTATTAGGAAAATAACAAAAAAAAAAAAAGCAAGTCTATTTGCCATGTACAATTGAGAAACCGAACATTCTGAGTATCTATATAGCTTATTGAATTCACAAAACTGGTTGATAAAAAAAATGCAAATCAGTACTTTGTATGGGTTTTACGTTTTTGATGAAAAATTGGGAGAAAGAGAACGAAGCATTATTAGGTGGGAGAATTAAAATGCTCAGTTGTTTGATGGTTTGGTTGAACATGAGTTTTAATCTTTTTATACCATGATTAGTACTTTATATCAAAATTATATGTTTAGTCAATTCTATGGTCCCTTTCAATTCTTAAATTGGTGCCCTCTATTTATTTGTATGTTTTTCTAAATTTGCCTCCCGTAGTAAATGATATATAACATATGTGCATTATTTTCAGTGTTTTTTTTTTTGTCTAAGTTTGGCATTATTCACTCTGTTAATTGGATGAAAATTGACAAACTTAATGCCAAACTATCCAAAACTCAACAAATTTCACAACTTCGAAACTACCGAAATAATTGTTCTTATAGTTTTTTAAAAATCGTGTGTATAGTTATGTTAGCTATACAAGAGATTAAGGTGATAATATTTACAATCAATTTCAAATTATATTTGTAAACATTCTTCACATACTTTTAAGAAATTTGATATATTCTGATTTGCATTATATGATGTATGATTGCTACATCCTACTTGTCAATTGATTGATGTTGGGCCTTGATGTTATTAATTTCTGGTTTTTAGTATTGTCATTATAGAATGTAATTTTTATACAAGATAACGTAATATACACCAAAATTCAAATTAATTTCAAAAACTATAAACAAGATCAGATTTTATTGTCATTTAAGATGTGAATGCAGTGAATAGCATTTTATTAGACAACTTAAGTTTTGCCTTAAATTATTCACTTCTTGAATTAGATTACTCGCCATCGTTGAAAATTTATAAAGTTTAGGTGTGAGTAATTAAATAAAAAGTAAACAAGGAAAAAGTCTAACCTGAATCAATTTTCTTTCTCCCTAATATTTTAGCGTAGGTGCTTGTTTCTGCATTTACATATAGCCCACAAATAGTAAAGGGAATTTTTTTTCAGAGAAACAAAATAAATAAAGGAAAATGTGTACTGTATCTTGTGCTACGCGCATCAAAGTTGCAATACTTGTTTA